TGGGAATTGGAGCCTTAACAGTTATGTTAAGTGTAGACACAAAATTTATGGCTTCAAATTGTCGTGGAGCACTTGGGATTTGGGCCTAGTTATTTCTTAAGCTCCCAAGTTCTAGACTAGAGATTTGGATCATTGATATTTGGGATTACTCTTAGCAGCATAGCTGAGTCCTCCTATCCAACGCAAAGATGTGTATGAGACTATTATTTTCTCTCATTTAGTGATCAATTACATATTTTTCTGCCTTTTGCTCCCCTCTAGGTGACGACATCATGAGATTAACCACTTCTCAGTATCCTCTTTTGCTAAACTGATTTCTTTTCCCTTAAAGCTATTTGCTCTAGAATTTCGTTGAACTTTGACTCCTAAAACAGATGCTATTTTTCAATTATCAGATCTGAATCTGATTGTAAGTCAGAATTCCTCTGAATTTGATAGATGCGAAGGTAGGGTCAGAAACGCTCGTTTGTGGCTTTAGTTCCAATGTGGATTTTGTGAATGAATGCGTCATTCGTGGGGTAAGCGCTTTAACTCGTAACGTTCTGTGATCAATGTGTCATTCTTGGGGTTTATACACAGACCTAGAGCATCAGGCTTGACCATGGAGTTCTGTTTTCGAGCTTCCCCTAAGTACATCCCTCTCCCTCCACCTTCCATCTCTGCTTTTGTGCCCATGTGTTTTATTTATTTATTTTGGTGTATGAGGTGGAAGGTGGAGGGTTTCATATAAATTATACCAACTCGGGACCTCATCAAGATCAATATCAACCTTCTAAAACAATGTACAAATCAATTCATTTAGGACTATCACAAGATCCACTCCCCTATGTCCAGTTCCTAGTTTTATGATTATCTAGATTTCAACCAGTGCTCTTCTAGGATACTGTAGCATGGAGTGGTAGTTTTGATGCACCTTAAGTAGAAACTTGTAAACCTATTGACATTGACTTCTTTCATTTCTTTAGTTTCTTTCATACATACTTGATTTTGTTTCCTCTTCCTTTCAAGCATGTATAAATGTTAATGAGTTTTCATTTCTGGTTATCTGAAACGTTCTTTTTTATTGATCTTTCATGTCAACAGCTGAAGTTGGAGCTGCAAAGCGAAGAAATACTGCAAAATCCCTTTAGCGAGTTGCCAAACTTGTACAGAAACTTTCTTTAATTATAACTAGAATTTGGCAGGAAGAGCAAGCACTTTCACTTGCCTCGCAACAATAGGTGGGACACTAGTGTTTTGAATGCTCTTCTTTGACCATCACGTACACTACAGTTGTGTACAATGCAACTGTTTCAAAAGAACTGATGTCTACATTTTCCAGTAATAAAATTTTTGAATGTAGCTCTTGATTATACTTTCGGATTTAAAGGTCATTCTGTTAAATTTCCACAGGTAGAATTATTGTTTGCTGACAAGGTTTGCTTACTAATAAGGTGGATAGAGTCTATAATCTTCAATACTATGTATTTGCGGTAGTAACTGATAAGATTCCTGTTGCTGTTGTTGAATCTGCAGTTGGGGACTAATTTTCTGATGCTGCTGTGGTGGTCTCCTGCTCTGATTTAGATGCTGGATGTTGCTGGTGATGTTCAAGCTTCTGACTGCGGTTGCTGCTACTGGAATGGAGCTGCTCAGCCAACAGGGAAGAGTTAGACAGAGCTCCTTAGGATTGAATTAAAACAAGTTTGGTGACTGTTATTTGTTATATGAATGTAGCTGTGAAGGATGAATGTAAAAACAAGGATTTGTATTGTTTATTTCACTGCAATGATAAAGAACAGAAATGACAATTCCAAGGCATTCGAGAGGCCTTGATCTCTCCCCACTTTTCTAAACAATTATCTTGAATGAATCTCTAATC